GTTTTTGCTGTCTCCTAAGATGAGATGGGAAAAGGGAAAGAGATAGGGAAAAGCTAAATATTTCTACACAAATGCTATGAGTAGATGTCATGGATCTTCTACATGATAATCAAATAATCTCAAGAGTAAGTATATAAATGTCTCAATGCAAATGAGTTGAGGCAGGTGATGTGATGAAAGATTTAAAATTACTGACATGAATTTGAGGAATGAGTAAGTATATTAAAGGAAGAAAGTTGGAATGTAATGAATGGATTTTGATAAATGTGAAATGAGATACATATGAAATGAAATATGATGAACTTTGTAGAGGAAAAGATGCATTTCAAACGATCTCAGGGAAGGGTCATTATAGTGTTTATGTGGTTCTGCATGCTTCACATAAAGTCATCTGCTTTGAAAAGGCTGTTTTTGTTGATCCTGTTGTTGGAATGGTACAAGTTCACAATTTTCAAAGCATTTAGCAGAACATGAGTCTTGAAAGGAGAGGTGCTTGTCACATAATGTAACAAAGGAAGTTTTAATTTTAGTATTCAATTATTTCTTGGATGAGTAAGTAGGTAAAAAGAAATAAGTCTTCTACAAGTAACAGAAATTTTTAATTCTGCTGTCTTCTTCCTCAGTTTTGTCTTAATAAAGTAAGTTAATGAAACAGAAGTGTTCTGTAATGTGTCTGTTTTGGATACATTTTCACTGAAGTACTGACAGTGGTTCATTAATATACAGACTGTGCTAACCAACAGAGAAAATTTCTACTAGGTTTTTGACTGCTTTCCCAGTATCCATCTAGGGAGATGCAGAACAGTCGAAGATTCTGGTGATTGTAGGGCATTTCTCTGAAACTGGAGACCACACCAAACTAAGAACTGATTCACTCTATCCAAGGCAAAAGTCTTGAAACTATCCTGTTCCCAATGCAGGTCGTCCACATTACCAAACGACTGCTGATCCTTAGAAGCTTCACAGCTGTTGAGTGGAAATGGTTTTCGTTTCTTTCAGCACCTCTTGTGGATCTCATGACAGATTTTATTTAGAAATTATATTATTTCTAAAAAGTTCTGCCCTTATGGATTTTGAAAAATACGATTAATTAGAAAATGACATGATAGCATATTCCAACCTGTTGCAATTTCTTGCAGCCTGGAAGCTCTAAGCCTTGGATATCTTTGTTCATGCTTTTACAATATGAAATTGTTCTCCATTGTATTTCGGTGGTAATGTGAGGTTTCTGTGCTACAGTGAGTTTGTTGTAGTATTGTAAATGGAAAGAAAAATCTGTCAATATGGTAGTAGGTTAGTAAGTGATGCTATACAATATGTTGTTGGTACAGTGAAGGGTGATGGGGAAAAAGCAGGCAATTAAAGTGCATAGGATCTCCGTGTGAACCTAAGGAGTAAAAATGGAGATAACTTGTAGAATTTCTGTGAAAGTTTACTAGATATTTCTATTTGGTGTTAACAGAACTACAGAAAATTTAGAAAAAAATACTAGAAGTAACATTTTGTTTTCTGCAAAATAAAGAAAAATGAGAAACACTGAAATTGTGCTACTTAGTTGAAGTTATGTATGAATAGAGGAAAATTTTGATCACACAAAAATTTTCATGAATTCTAATGTGCATGATCCCTTCTAAAACGGGAAGTAAAGAATTAGCTTTTGAAAGTAGTAACAAAAACTGTAAGCTGCCATCTAACAGGCCTAGTACATTAAGGCCTCTATTTGTTACTAGAAATGACCATAGTTCATTAATTCTTTCTCTCAGAATTCCTTTTCAGAAATACGTGACTCTTTGAACACCAAGGAGAATGAGGCTGACATTTTTCACGCCAACTTTCCTCTCTCTTCTCCTTCTCCTTCTGGAGACTTCCTGTGTTTCTTTCCCCATAGTCTGTTTTTCCTATGTCTTCTCTCTTTCAGAATGTCTGTAATTGCAGTCTAATGTATTAGTATCTGTAAGACTTAATAAGGTTCCTGAGCGGGAGTTGCAGATCAGAATAAACCCTGGGTTTTCAGACTCTATGTAGATGTCCAGTTTATAGATAATTTCATGCATGCCTATGGGAGATAGAATCATATTTTAAAAAAAATACTTTATTTTTGTGACATCTGGGGGACATTGTGCCGTTTCCTTACCTGGCATTTGGCTTAACCTCAACTTTACCTTGTGGAGTTGATCCAGAGTGGAGCACATTCTGTATACATCCAGAGAGCAGGTAGCACTAAGGCAAATTTGAATGGCATCAGTTATTTAAAACATTTTGTACTAGCTACCAAAGCTTAACGTCTGAGATAAATTTCCCCATACCATTATAAAAACACTTTGAAATTGCCAATGATCATGAGATACCTTTGGTGTTTTTTTCACACGGTCTTTAGGAGTCTGCAAGTTTTCTTTGTAGTGTTTAATGAAAAAGATGTTTGTAATCATAAATTAGTTAACAGCTATCAAAATTGAAAATTAATATTTCAAAGCTGGCCAGCAGGCATTGAATGTATCTTTGTGCGCTCTGTTTTTGAAGTTATTCTTAGGGGAGTAGCGATCAACCACTGATAAATGCAGCTGGTTCTTTCTGTTGTGAATGTGAACTAAATGTAATCATCTTCACAGCAGTGTGTGTGCTTCTCAGCATGGCTGTGTTTGGAAACAACCCGACAATTGCTTTTAGTTCAGAAGTCAGTAGATCCAGAGACATTCTTTTTGTTCTCATTTCTAAAAGTTGTTCAGCTGAAAAACTTATTTTGAATTTTAGTCAAAGGTTTCAGTAGTAATTAACATGTAGAAAACTGAGTTTTGGACTGAATTTCCCAAAGACTAAGTTTATTTTCTGTAAGTTTCAGAATTTTTATTATTTTTTAATTGTTAGCATTAGTTGTTGCTGATTGCCAATTAATTCAGTCATAGTCATCCAGAGTATGTATTTGCTCACAGGTGTTTTCACTTTTATTTCACGTTGACCAAGGAAAATATTTCCAGCTGTTAAGTAAGAGGATAATTAAACAATTTCCACTCAAGATTCTTGAGCTTGTAAACACATTGTACAGCTATTTTTTTTTTTTCCTGTAGGAGTCTGAACTACCAAATCTAAACTTCATGTATATATCTGTGTATATTTAGTGCCAAGGTCAATAGAGCATCCTAAGTGGGATTGGAGGACAAAACCGGAGAACCATGATTTTGATGAGCTAAATCATATTCTTCAAGAGAGCAAAAAGCTTGGAAAAGCCCTTGAGAATCTTTCTCGCAGTAAGTTGATTGATTTTAGTTTTTTAATGTAACCATGCAGCCTAAATTGTAATCTGGAAGTATATATCAAGAAGGTGATCTCCTATCCTATCCTATTAAGAGTAAGTTCACTCACATTTGTAGTTGGATTCTGGTTGAGGAGGTTTGCAGAATGTCTAAGGCAATTTAGCAGCTTTCCTACTTCCTGAAACTACTTCCCCTTCACCTTTTTTTTTTTGTTGTTGTTGTTTTTGCCTTTAATTTCTGCCAGCTTAGTGAGTTGAATTAGCTCATAAAGAGATAAAACACAAGAACCTGTTTTAAGGAAAATGGCAGGAAAATGCGGCAGTGTACTGCTGTACAGCAGTGTACATGCAGCAGCTACTCCTGTAGAGGTTAACAGATAGGATAACCGTTTGTGAAACCTTAGACGCATTGGAGATGGAGATCAGACCTGTTATTGAAAAACAGCGTTTCATGGCCTTGATCCTCATTAGTTCCTTACAATTTTCAGAAGCATTTTGGGTAGTTTAAATAAATACTCAGAAACTTGGTAACCTATGGCTTCATCAACAAGAACCTAAGGATTATCCCTCAAGAGACATAGTGAAACAGAAGCGGTGTTTACAAATAGCATGCCCATAGAAGGAATAGCTCTGAAATAAGATGCTAGGTTGAAGTACCTTGATGGAAGCAAACCCTGCTAGCAGTTATCAAAGTGTGAAATGTACTCCGCTAAGGTGCATGAGAACTATGTATGATATGATCTGGGAGACATTTGAATGACAACTGCTTAGCTTCTTCTTTCATTAAGTTTTATCCCTGTCACTTCTTGATTCAGTGAAGAAATTGCAGATGATGTCAGAAGAAGAGATGAATGAAAAATAGAAAATCTGTCTTGTGGATAATTTTGAGAATTTTTTTTTCTATTTTGGGTCAAAACTAAAACTAGCTTGCCCAAATGCCCTCTCCTGCTTGTGCTTTAGCTTGATCACATGAATTATAGTTTGGGAATTTTTCCTATTTATATTAACTGGAGTAGTATTGTTACAGGACTCTTCAAATACATTTCCCATTAGCTACTCTGTCTGCATTTTCTCCTCTAAGGAGCTGAAACTTTTCCTGACTTGGTCTCTGATTTTAGCCCCACCATTGCTTGACAGTATTACTGTGATGTGTCTGGCAATTTCAAACCTTTGTCCTTGTAACCAGGAGTAACACAGATAACGCGGATTCAGAAACAACTTGTTTTCAGTTTCATAGAGGGTTATTTATTTACTGTCCAGAAATACAATGTGATCAGACATAAGAATTCAGTAATATAAATCCTGTCTCAGTCCTACATCTTTTGTCTTTCCTTCTGAGTGTTGTGTAGCTTCTAATGAACTTCTGTTTTCTCATATCTAACATATAGTTAGCAGCATTCTGTGCCTCTTTTTTTCCCAAAGAGTTTTGTAGCAGGAGTTTTCTAATGCTGCACCTCTTCAGAGTCCTGTGCTTGGGCTGGAGGTGAATATACCTGGTCAATATTGTTGGAATCAGGTTTTTGTAGTTATTTCACAGATGATACATTCTTCATTAATTCTTGCTAGTACTTGATGTTTTCTAATGATTTGCCAAGGTAATGCAGACTTTTCGTCTTACCCCCCCTGAGTGCTTTAATTCACTTGCAACCTGATGTAACGTTCACTTTCATGAATGTACTTTCTGTTTCTTCATCCAGATCATTACTGGAAATATTTTCAGACTACTTCATGATTCCATTTCAGATCTGACAACCAGCCCTTGAAAGCTACTCAGTAAGTGCATTTTTTCCCACCAGATGTTATCTACCTAGCAGTGGTTACACCTAGAATGTAATTCTCTGATTTGACTATCATCTAGGATAGCAAAAAAGCCTTATAATAGCTTAAGTATTTTACTACTTCTTCCTCTTATCCACTAGGCAAGTTTCCAAGTTGAGAAAGCACTTAGATTGATTTGGCATGACTTGTTCTTGAGTAATTCGTGTCAGCTGGTTCTTATCACCTTCCCTGTCCATTAGAGGTCCATAAACTGTTAATTTAACAATTTTGTCAAATACTTTTGCTGCTATCGCCTGTAGGCTGGCTGGTTAGTAATTCCTCTTCTTTCCTTTTTGTTTTCTAAATAAAGATGTGGTGTTTCCCCTTTCCTGCCCTCGATTCCTGAAAGACAGTTGGTAATAGTTCTGGGATTTCTTTGGCTAGTTTGGTAGGTACTCTAGCATGAACATCACAAGATTCTGCCAACTTGAATGTATCTGAACTACCAAAATATCTTTCAGCTTTCCCTCATCTGGCCTGTAATTCACCCATCTTAGAATCACTATCATTAGGAACCTGTGATTACGATCTTTTATTGTAAGGATTGAAGCAGTGGAAGTATTAAATATTGAGATTTCTTTGTATCATCCATTATTTGTTTCCCTTATCTTTGATGTAGTAGTTCTGCATTTTACTTTGTCCTCCTCTCCTAATGTATTTATAGTACCTTTTCTTGTGAATTTATTTTTGTTCTTTGATAAGTTGTTATTCATTTTCACTTTAGGCTTTTTGGCTGTATCATTTAAACACTTGTGTCAGATTAATTCTCAACTGTGTGTCCTGTTTTCAATATCTGTGCTTCCCATTTTCACGTCATTTCAGGAAATAACTCCGCTCTGTGCTGTGATTTCTTCCATATTAGGATGATACAAAATAAAGATTCAAAATGAAATACATGAAATTTTTGGAAAAAAAGAAGAGAGATAATTTTAAAAATTAATCTGATCTTATGGTTTCTGTAAGGGGAACTGAAATTACATTTAGCAAATATCTCCGAAGGATTCAATGAAGAGATATATCTAGAGCATTAAAAGTTAAAGATGTGAAACTCATCCTGCTCTGGGCTCAATTATTCCTTATGGTGAATTTTTTAAGAGCTGGGAGAGGTTTCTACAGCTACTTTCTTCAGTGTTACTGCTTGCTTTGCGCATGCTACTCAATGCTTTGGATTGTTACAGGCATGTCCATAAAGTCTGTAAATCTAATGCTACATTAGATACTAACCTTGTTTCCAAGCAGTATGTGGCAGGCAGTGGAGTGGGCTCAATAAATAACTAGTTGAGTGTGCAAATGGATCACAACATACTATCAATGGCTTTTTACAACACATTTAATTCTTCAGTACTTTTAACAGGGACAAGCGCCACATGAAGTTGAATGTGTGAAGTTAAATGATTTTTTCCATCAAGTTCTGGAATTCATTTCATGTTTTAAAGAAATGCTTTGATCTTATAGTGTATTCTAGGACTCTACAGACTTCGTTGCCTCCTATACAACTGACACAGGCTATGAATTAAACTCTAGTTTAGATTGCTTTATTTATTGTTAAATCTCAGCTTTGAGAGAAACCTGTACATTTCACACAAAGTCTACATCCTCCTAAGTCCTGTCAAGACAACATATGAGTAATTTTGTGTTCCAGTACATCCAGAAAAACCCACAACAGTGAATTCACACCTAATGCTAAAGATATGTTGAAAGACTGGAAGATAATATTGCCATTGTTACAGTCTATATGCATAGGAACTTGGTGACTCAAATATACATCTTCTTGTGGTCAACTGTGAGTCAGCACAGAAGGACAACAAGGAAAGCCACAAACCCATGGCTGAAGTGCAGAATAAATTTATTTTTGTTCTTTCTCCAACTGAGGGTATCCCCGAGCAATACTTGGGCAGAGGCAGACATGCGGGAGAAACACAGGCGGTTTTAATCTTGATCCATGCAAAAGGATACCTGGCCTGCAGTGTATGCCTGTTTATCAAGGGTTTATCACCACGCTGCAATCTTCACTGTTTTGATCTTCTCTTTACCAAGCAGGTAGCTCAAGTGTGCCTGGTAGAGTACTTCCAACTCTACCAAACACCTACATTATCTACACAGAGATGTTATACTTGTGAAACACACGGAGGACAAACAGCAGCAGCTATAATATATGTATTTTTCCACAGTGCTACTCTACAGATTTTGCATATTCCTAGCTGCAAAATCGCTTGAACATATTTACAGTCCTCCTTGCAGGACTTCTGTCCTCATCACCTCTCCCCTCTTCCTTGCCAATCTTCCACTTTTAATCTCTTCCTCCCAGCATCAACCCATTTGGAAAATCTGGGTTTTGCTTGCTTCTCCAATGACCTGTGTGTTATGGGGGTGCGTTTTGAACTATCAAGTTAATTATTTAGGAGAGTCTTTGGTTAATGAAACGGCATACAGGTATATACTGCATTTCCCTTATGCATATTTCATTTTCTTTAATCAAGAGATCAGTCTTTACTGTAACTCTCCTTCTTCCTCTGCAGATCATTAAGAAGAAGTTTTATAAGATATATACTCTTCCATTTCTGGCCTTTTTTCCTTTTAAATAGAGTTAAAATCTCCTGCATAGCTAAGGCTCTTGCTCATAAATAGACCTGTCTTAATCCTTAGTCTTCCAAGGTTAGAAAGGTACCTAAACAAAGATGGAAAACAGTGAATTGTGTGTTATAACTGGAAGAAAATAAGGATTAAATCAGTAAGAGCTTGCTTCGAAGTAAATGTGTCTGAGTGCTTTGTGAACACCTTTACATCTTTTGTATGAACAATTGGAGTACATAATGAAAATGTGTACATATTGTACATTTTAGTTTGCACATAGTAACAGCATTTGATGATGCTTAATGTATTCTACTTTGAGATAGGATATGTTTTCACAGTTGCAAATAGGCATTTATCAGAGTTAACCAACGTTTTATTAATGTATGGATTCTTGCTGAGTCCACGTGTATACTAGAAATTAGAGGGCAAGAAGCAAATTTATCTTGCTTTGAACTTGACAGACATTCTAAGGTCAGAAAAAGGGTTGTAAGTTAACATTAACCAAAGCTATTTGGGAACCCATCTAATTCTGCTTGAGGGAATCCCAGAAATAATGATGTTTAGCTATAACCAACAGAAAAAAAAAAATAGTATTCTTTATTTCTTAATTTAGAGGGGGAATAATCAGTTAATAAACAATCAGTAAATCAGAAAGCCAACTGCAGTCCAGTAGGAAATCTTGTTGTAAGGTTACCATGAGGAATCATAGAATTGCAGACTGGTTGAGATTGGAAGAGACCTCTGGACGTTATTGATCCAGCCTCCTGCTCAAGCAGGCATGCTTAGCACCAGTTTACCAGGAGCATCTCCAGAGGCCTTTTGAGTATCTTTAAGAATGAAAGAGCTCTGAATCCCTCGAGCGTACCTCCAGCTGATACTTCTCATAATACCAGAATTAGTTGCTGTTTATGTCCATAATAGCCTTAGAAGGACAAATGTGTAAGGATAAGCAGCAAGAATCAAAATCGTAACAATAAAGGTACAACTAGTTTTAAAAAAAATGATTAGAATATTGTTAAAAAAAAATACCAAAATATATTCTGTTTCTGGATGAACCTGTATGTGGGATGTGAAATGATAGATATACACCATGAACTACTTCCGAGTATTTAGCAGTCTCTGAAACACATTAAAATGGGTTCTCACTAGTTCACTTCTACACTATAGAAGTTCGTTAATGATGTACAGATTGGTTATAGAAAATTTACTTGAATGGAATGCTGCTAACATCTATTGAAGACCTCTAAATTTTCCTATTGAAAGCAGGTATTTCTGATGCTGATTGAACCATAAATACAACTTGCATGACATGTAACTTTTATCAATCACCTCTTTCAGGTGGCATTGTTTTAGGACATAATACTTCAACGTTTTTTTTTTAGTCATACACACTAAATACGCTGCAGTCTGTTAACAATGACTTACATGTGATAAGTGCATGTAGTCCTAAATGTGTTCCTGTAGTTGAACCACCAAACTAGTCATCAGTATTCTGTAGAGATTTTCTCCTTCTATTCAGGCTGAACTTTAAAATTGTGTTATTTTTGTGTGAGATCAGTGTTTGTGATTTATTGTGAGATCGACATTTTTAGATAAGCTCAATCAAACTTTTAAGGAAGATAATTTTATCTCAGTACTGCAGCTGTTATCCAGTACTACTTTTGCTTATAAAACCCATTTGCTTTTAGTGTGATTTATGAGTAATAGTACTAAATAATGATATTGTCTGAGATTGAAACAGGAAGAATGTGAACATAGTTATCGCAGCTCAATTATAAAATGTGGTTTATATGGCAGGGAGATCCTAGTGATTTCAGTTATATTTTTTTCCTATAGATGTTACATTTTAAATTACTGTTATTAAGTTATGTGCCATTCTGATCCAGCATTCTTGAAATTTCAGAACTAGTCTCTTTTTGAGTTATAGTGTCCTTTTCTGGAGCAGTATTTGACTTGCTAAAAATTTCCTGGAGAACTGGGCTTTGTGTGACTTCAGTCTTATGTGTGGTACTTTCTAATCCTTAGAAAAAGATAGCTGTCATTCATTCAGAGAGTAGCAGGAAGGTGGACTATGACTTTATGATAGAATGTATCATGGAGTGGCTTGGGTTGGAAGGGACCCTGAAGATCAATTAGTCCCAACTCCCCTGCCATGGGCAGGGCTGCCACCCACCAGATCAGGTTGCCCGGGGCCCCATCCAACCTGGCCTGAAATGACTCCAGGAATGGAGCATCCACAGCTTCTCTGAGTAGCCTGTATCAGTGCCTCATCACTCGGAGTAAAAAATATTGTCCTAATACCTTATCTAAATCTCCTCTCTTTTAGTTTCAAACCATTCCTCATCCTGTTGTTATCCTTAACTAGTGACTGCTAGTGACAGGCTACACGCCATAACTAAGCTACTGTAGTGTACACCTTTCTTTAAAACTGAGAGTTGTGAAAAGTTATGCAGCGCTGATTTTTTTTTCTGAGATGAGCTTAACCTAGGAAAGTGTCTGGGACTCAGTATTTGGTGCTTTATTTGCATTTTGTATCTCTTTCATTTCATTTCATTCTCTAATTCATTGCTCACCTAAACGTGGAACCATTGGATCTACTCAGAAGTTTGTATATCAAATTACTGCAAGTCAAAAGCACAAATTCTTATTCTGGGAATTTAATTATTACTTTATTACTTCTTTTTTTTAAGTCACCACCGGGAGAAGAGTTCAAATCAATTTCTTAGTTTCTTAGATATAGTGACTGTACTGATGTAAATTGTGCTGCTTTGCTGGCGTGTGGTGCCTTGTAGATTACACTGTTTTACTTTTCCTTGCATGGATAAATGTTGGGAGGAATATTACCCAACTCAAGATGGGTTCCCCTACAAAAACTTTATGTATAGTTGTTTAATAATATAGGGATATATGGCCTCACTGGCAACAAAAAGCACTGAATTATTACTGGAGAAAATAGGGCTAATTTGGAAAGCTGTAAAATGACTGGCTGTAAATAAATAACATCAGAATGTTTATTATGCCAGTCAATGACAAATCTGTTACAGTGTTCCAGCACAGAAATGATTGAACTGGTTTGGTTCCTGTGTATGTACTGTTGAAATCAGGGGAAACATTTTTTTTAGCTGTAACTGGAACAGCCATTTTCTATCATTTGTAATCCAGATTTGATGTGAAATAGGCAATCTCCATCTACCTCATGTTTACTACATGATGCATGCAGGCAGTAATTTACCATTTTGCCAACAGTAGTACGGCAACCATCCTGTACATGTGGTTTTGCTGTGAGAAATGCAAATACATCTGACATAGCCTTGTTCACTGGT